CTCCGCCTCCGCCTCCGACTCCACTCCAGCCAGGCCAGCCTGGGCAACGTGCTCCCAAGACACCCCAGAGGAAGGCCCCGCCACCAGAAGGCGTCGGCAGACCTCCTCGAGGAGAGTTACCGCCGCCGATCGCTCCCAACGTGTATCCTGGCCAGGTCGTGGGCGACAACAGGGTTCCACCACCGCCACCACGGCATGCGCCGCCACCAGTGGGAGCTGTACCTGGACAAGGTATTGCCAAGGCTTCGCCGCCTGTTCCGCCGCTCCCCCCAGGACCTCCACCGGCACACACTCCCATCGCTTCGGCCCCCCCGCACGTGCAGCGAGAGATCGCAGCAGAGCAGCGGGAGACCGCCGCGCCGAGAGATACAGCCGTGGAAGAAGTCTCCGAGGGAGTTGAGGGCCTCACGTTAGACCCACACAACGCGGCCGCGGCTGCTGCCCAGAAGGCCACCGAGAGGGAAGCCGCCCTTGCTAAGTCCGAGGCCGCGCTGCTGAGGACACAGAGTAGACTCGCTGATGCAATCAATGCCTTAACAGCGGCTAGAAAGGCCGTCGGGTTGGTTAACATCCGCCCTGTGGCACCTCCGATCCGAGCACATCGTGACGAGTCTGGCGACACATCCGCCCCTGACGTCTCTATACCAACTGTTATGCAGCGGGAAACCGCAGCTTCGCAGTTGACAACAGACCAGGAGCGCGAGCGTAATCGTCAGATTCACGAGCGTTACGACCAATGGTTTCTACAGGCTGCCACTGAGGGCCGCGTTAGCCACATCACGTCAGCCTGGCCGCCCATGGGTCCCCACGAGACCTATCGGATTGGAGACTACGTTCAAACAAGACAAGCTTGCTACTTTTACTCTCACCCGCCATCGAAACACTCAGATGGTTCCTGGGTTGGCGAGCGCGTTAGCCCTCATGAAGGCGAACCAATGGGATCCCTATTCGGACCCATTCGCGAGGTAGGCCAGTTCATGGGATACGTGACCGTGAAAATCGGAGATCACTGGATGAACGTTTGGGATGGCACGAAGGGCATGCTGGCGGGCAACACGCTTGCCCGCGTTGTACCTTGCCCAGACTTTGACGCCAACTCACTCCCAGATGACCTTCGCTTCGGTCCCCCAGTTAACTTTCCACCCCGTCATGCGATCATGACGCCGACCAGTGACGTCAGGGCTGTGGGAGATCTTCGTGCTCCACTGCGCCAGAGGCATACAGACGCCTCTAGTGCAGCGGGACACCGCAGCGCCCCCAGTCAACAGCCCCCAGAGGTTGAGGAGGTCGCCGACATAGATGCTCGTGGAGCTGAGCCAGGTGAATTGCTTAAATTGATCAGGAGCCCTCAGTCTTTGGACGTGCCCACTGACGAGGTACCTCCGGCCCAGTCATCGCCGACAGTCGTACCAGAACCGACACCAATGGCAGTTGACCCTCCGTCGCCGACTATCACTCCACACTCGCCCGACTATCCTCCGCCGGCAGCGGAGGATCACCCTCTGGCGGCAGACGATCACAGTTCACCTACAGAGATGCCGGTCCCCACACAGGACCAGAGCTCGCCGACCGAAATCCCTGTACCAACGGATTTTCCAGAGGAAAGTTATGATGACGGCGCAGCGGGAAATCGCAGCAATGGTGACACTGTGCCACATGTTCCAGAACATGCTGATGATGACTTCCTCAAGAAGGATGACTGGTCCCCAGAGCTGAATGATATCCGCAATGAGATCGATACAATGGAGGATAACGCGGAGATAACTCTCACATATGGACCAGATCAGTCCGACCTACCAGACTATTTCAAAGCAGTCAAGAAAGTCCACATTGTTCGTAGATCTGGGCATCACGGTGTCGTTAACACCAAAGTGAAACAGACCATGGAGTACACCGTTGTCTTGAACATGGACGATATCGCAAATACAACAATGACCTTCGAGTTCAACTGCGATGCACCATGGTGTCACCGTTTCCCAGACCAATGTGGACACAGAGCTTTCACAAAGTACCTTTTCCAGTGCATTGGTACTTTCCGATACAGAACCCTGGCATACGGCAGACGTTCATGGTGCGCCATGGCATACTTGAACCTCTACCAGCAGGCTGGCGACAAATTTGCACTCATCGACATTGAGAACGCCGAGGTTGTGCAGAATCATCCTGGCCTTGCTGCACTCCGCATGGGCACAGAGACCTATGTGGAGGATGAGTTCGTGAATGAGGCGCCCCACGACGGAAAGATTTCCACATTGGCTACGAAGCAAGGGGAAACCCTAGCATCGCAAGACAATGTGGAGGCTACCAAAACCGTTATTGATTCTGTCGTTGGTTCACAGTTATCACAACGCACACTCGCCACTCAAGTTCTCCAAGATGCGTACCAGGCTGTCGCTGCTTCCGCCTCCGCCGAGTCTCAGGGTGCAGCGGGAAACCGCAGCGACCTTGACAAGATCTTGGACGAAGACGACGAGAAGATCTTTGCCCCACTTGAACCTGATCACCTCGATCGGGCCCGCCAAATCGTCTCTGCGCCAGGTGGGAGCGTATCTCAGGAGAATTTCGCAACCCTGCTCGCAGGGGTCGTTCAGTTCGACGAGAGCACAGGACTGGCACCTCCAGAGCTACAGACTCGCATCCCGTCTTGCGCAATTTGCAACGCTCGGATGCCAGCTGATTTGGACACGCCTGGGGCCACTCTGAAATGTGCCTTTTGCATGAGGTACGAGAACTCCAAATGGCCGGACGAAGTTGCGGCCTGGCGAGAACAGTTCGTTGCGTTTGCCGCCACTCAGCCGGATGACGTCGCCAAGCGCATCACAGCTGCCCCCATTGATACGCGTGGCTCGAAGAAGCCACAGACAGACGCTAAAGACGAGCTTCAAAACATGGGGAAGAAAGCTGACAAACGGCATCAGAAGTGGCTAGCTTGGAGTTCTCCATCTCGGGAGGAGTGCGACAAGCTACGTGCAGACGCCGACGCGGACGGCATCCCGCCTGAGAATCCAAATTATCCTCCCATGTATCATCCATACATGTCTCTAGCACAGCGCTTTGCGGAGGATGATGAGTTTCGTGCGCAGATGACAACAGTTCGGACTCAGGCTGGTAGGGTTGCATGGACGTTAGAGGTTGCCACTGAGGCCGATCGCCTCTGGCAGGCCTCCAAAAAGAGGAAAGAGGTCGGAGCGCCGAACCTTGGAGCCGAAACACTCCGTGAGCGTTTTCAGCGCAACCACCTTACCGTTCACGTCCCGGGCGAATCTCTCCGCGGTGCCATCACCGCCGCAGAAATTCGTGCACACCCACAGTCTTTGACTGGGTCCCGGGACGAGATCCGATCCGGTGTTAAGCGAGAGCGCGAAGAATACTACTCTCAGCTTCAGGAGACCGCCAGTGCAGCGGGAGACCGCAGCGGCAACGCTCCAGGAAGCAGTAGTGGGGGTGACTTTAGGGGGAGCGGGACCGATCCAACCCCCCAGCCACCACCACACACATCCGAGTATCGTACTTCTTCCGGCGCGTTCGACAGCCATGGCCATACCGCCTCCGCTGCCAGATATGCGCCTGCGCGTCCCGATGATGGACCACCTCTGGCAAAGCGCCCCGCCATTTCGAATGTGACCCACGGGTACAGTGCTGAATACGGTGCCCACTATTATGACAGGCAAATTGCACCGTATGACCGCCAGTGGTACGACCATTGGGGCGAGTTCATCTGGACCAAAGCGTGGGATCCGTTCGCCAATAATGGATGGGGCGCGACTGCATGGAATAAGAAGTACACATCGGGGAAATATACGGGCAGATCATGGCGCTGGGACCCTCCACGCTGACGCACCAGGAAACTGGTTGCCATGCCGCCCATAAGATTTTGACTGGCTTCCAACTTTGTCGTATTGTTGATGTGCCTATTGATGCATTATATCATTTTCTTCGATGACATGTAGTATTCGAGGACGCTCGCACTTACCTTTTGATCAGTATATCACTTCAAGGATTCTTCCTCTTCATGGACTCAACAACTGTGAGAAAGTTTATGGTGACAGCTATCCTCATGATGGGATAATACTACTCATATAGATTCAAAAAAAAAAAATCGCATAATGCACAATTGCATAAATATCCTTTAGATTTGAACTGCGGCAAGACGTACATATTGCATCTGGTACAGATTGGATATGGAACTTGCATAAAAAGATTTTCACCACCCTCGTACCGTGACTGATTTGATTACTTTGATTTGGTATTGGATTGAAGACTTCATATTCATGATTATCATGTGTTGCTTCGGGCACCGACCGTTTGGGTCGGTGTCATAAGAGTTCAGTCTCTCCATTCCACTTCTCTCCAGCCCACAGCACTGTCCTGGGTTCTATCTCGGCGGCTGGCGCTGTAAAACTTTTTGCAGGTTAGCGCCGCCGTTGGGTACGAACCTTACGACAGAGCTTTGGCTGTCCCTTCCTTTCCTTCCTGGGCCGAAGCAGTGGATTGCAGACAGGAGTTCAGTAGAGATTCACTCTCCTATCCCGATCCCCGCTTCGGTGCCTTTCGCTTTTGTGCGTTGGCATCGGGCGGGATCGGGACGGGGGGTGTGTGTGAATCCCCCTACTTTCCTCCTATCTTGCTCATATCCATCGCCCCTCTTGGCTCGGATGACAGGTACTCGATACTTGGAGGTACGTTGGGTAAAACCATCGTCCCTCATCGTCTACCGACGGACACTCGGGGGTGGGGTCGGTCCATTGGTCCTCCTCACCCTCACACATTCTGTCCTTTCCCCTCCCTTCCTTCCTGCTCCCCTCTGTTTCCTCCATCCTCCTGGTCCTCCTCCCTCCTGCTCCGCCCCTCCTCCTCCTCCTCCTCCTCCTCCTCTTCCGCTCCTCTCTCTTCCTGCCTCCTCCTCCTCCTTTCCTCCCTCCCTCCCTGCCTGCCTGCTCCTCCCTCCCCGCCCCGCCCCTCCAGCCTTCCAAGGGCGGCAGCGCTGGCCGCCCCCTCAGGAGAAGATCCCGCAGATCGAGCGCAGCGTGCGCCTGCAGGAGCGCGTGGGGCCCAAGCCGCCCGCGCAGGAGCCGCCCACGCAGCGGGGAGGAGGAGGGTGGTGCTGGTGACGGTGCTGCTGGTGATGCCGACGGCGGCGGTGACGGTGATGGTCGGGAGCCTCGAGACGGGGGTCAGTGCAAACGGGGGTCAGCCAGGGCGCCCGGCGAAGGCCCCCTCTGGCTGACCCGGGTTAGGGAGCTGTCGTGTGGCCGCGAGGCGGCCGCGCGTATTGGCTGACCCGGGTTTGCGAGGACCTGCGTTGCAGTTTTTTCTCCTGCATTGCAGTTTTTGGTTTCCTGCTGACCCGGGTCTGGATTGACCCGGGTCAGAGGATCCCCGAGATGGGGCTGGTGTCACACGTCAGCATACGGTAGGTTTGTGTCGTGTCGACCGGCGGCGACCCCAGCGCGGACGTTCAAGGTTGAACGCCGCCGGCGACCCAGAATCGATCGATGTTGAACGATCGGACGTTGCGGCAGCGGCCGATCGTTCAAGGTTGAAAGATCCCTGCGGTGTCAAAAACCAACGCTGGGGTCGGCACGACACGAACCTGCCGTAGTGGATGATTGCAGGCTGCATGTTGGGAAGTGGCCTGGGGCTCATGGTGGTGGTTGTGATGATGGTTGTGCTCATGTGCTTGTTGCTGCTGCCTGTGGTGCAGAATGCCGCTGCCGATGATGCTTGTGATGCTGGTGGTGTCGACGACGATGATCATGCTTACGGGGATGGTGGTGATGACGATGAGATGATGATGCTGATGATGATGATGATTATGCTAATGATGGTGATGCTGATGCTGATGATGGTGAGGATGCTGCTGCTGCTGATGATGGCGATGGCGATGACAATGCTGATGATATGATGCTGATGATGATGCTGATGATGATGATGCTGATGTTGATGATGCTGATACTGATGCTGACGATGGTGATTCTGATGCTGATGGTGACCATGCTGATGATGTTGATGATTGTCATCATTGTGATGATGATGATGATGATGATGATGATGATGATGATGATGTCAATGCTGATGATGATGCTGATTCTGATGATGAGGATTATGATGCTGCTTCTGATGCTGCTGCTGATGCTGCTGTTGCTGGTGATGCTGATGATGCCGATGATGGTGATGATGCTGATGATGTTGATGCTGATGATGACGGTGGGGAGGACGACTGTGAAGACCACGACGGTGGTGATGATGACGATGGTGATGATGCTGATGATGACCGTGATGCTGATGCTGATGCTGTGGATGGTTAGGATGCTGCTGCTGCTGATGGGGATTATGATGACGGCGACTGCGATGGCGATGATTCTGCTGATGCTTATGCAGATGCTGCTGCTAATGATGATGACGGTCAACATCGTTATGATGATGCTGATGATGATGCTGATGATGCAGATGATGATTATGATGATGCTGTTGATGCTGCTGATGATGATTATGAAATGAGGATCATGATGCTGCTGGTGGTGATGATGCTGATGCTACTGATGATGATGCTGATGCTGATGATGATGCTGATGATGATGCTCATGCTGCTGATGATGACGATGCTGATGCTGATGATGATGGTGGTGATGATGACCGTGACGACGGCGACGAGGACGGTGATGATGCTGACGATACTAATGATGATCATGCTAATACTAATGATCATGCTGCTGCTGATGATGCTGATGCTGCTGGTGGTGATGATTCTGCTGCTGCTGATGCTGATAATGGCGACGAGGATGACGAGGATGCTGATGATGACGATGATGCTGATGCTGTTGCTTCTGCTGATGATGATGGTGATGGTGATGATGATGCTGCTGATGGTGATGGTGATGATGATGCTGCTGATGGTGATGCTGATTGTGATGCTGCTGCTGATGATGATGCTGATTACGATGACGATGCTGATCATGACGATGAGGATGATGATGCTGTTGATGATGATAGTGATACTGATGGTGATGGTGACGATGATGATGGTGGTGATGATGCTAATCATGCTGATGGTGATGATCATGCTGATGATGATGACGATGACGATGATGATGATGATGATGATGATGATGATTATGATGATGATGATGATGCTGATGATGATGATGATGATGATGATGCCGATGCCGATGACGATGACGATGATGATGATAACGGTAATGCTGATGATGCCGCTGATGTTTATTGCGATGTAGATCCGGATGCAGCTGCTGCTGTTGATGCTGATGATGATGCTGATGCTGATGATGACGATGACGATCACGATTATGCTGCTGCTGATGATCATGCTGATGCTGATGATGATGATGCTGGTGCTGGTGCTGATGATGCTGATGATGCTGCTGATGATGATGATGGTGATGGTGACGATGATGGTGGTGGTTGTGGGAGGAGGAGGAGGGAGGAGGAGGAGGAGGAGGAGGAGGAGGAGGAGGAGGAGGGCCAGGGACGCAGCAGCAGCAGCAGCAGCAGGAAGAGGAAGAGGAAGAGGAGGAGGAGGAGGACGAGGAGGAGGCTGAATAATGAATGATCACGGCTGGTGGTGATGAATGGTGAAGAGTAGCACGAGGAGGAACTGGAGAAGGAGGAGGAGGAAGAGGAGGAGGAAGAGCAGGAGGATCAGAAGGAGCAGGAGGAGGAGGAGGACATGGAGGAGGAGGAGGACATTGAGGAGGAGGATGGACCAGTGTAAAACCAAGAGCCAGCAACGATGTTGGCATTAACCCTCCCTCCAAGCTCCCTCTTCATGGGCCCCCACAACGGTTCATGTTCATGGAGGGAATTGCCTCTTTCGAAGACAACCGATTGAAGATCCTGAAGCATGCCAAAACATTGTTCTCGGGATTTCAACGCGACGTGTCAACCTGACTGCTGCGTCTTGACGACCCGGAATCGTGCCAGAGTTCCATTTTTGGGATTCCAACACCGCGAATCAACGTAATTGCTGCACCCGCGCAATCCTGAATCATTCCAAGTCACCATTTCTTGTACGCTGATCATGGGAACCTGTGAAATTCTGGCAAATTTTTAAAACGAATGTGCGCGGCGCTAAGGCGAGAGTCACATTTGAAAAGAAGCCGCCCTCAATTCGTGAAGCTCGCCAATATTTGCGGCGCCAAGGCGAGAGCCACATTTTGAAAATGACCCGCCCTGAATCCGTGAATTTCTTGCGCGGCGCCAGGGCGAGAGCCACATATTGAAAACGACCCGCCCTCAATCCGTCAAACTGTCGCACATGTTTGGTAACGAATGTGCGCGGCGCTAAGGCGAGAGCCACAGTTTGAAAACCACCCTCCCTCAATCCGTGAAGCTCTTGCACATGTTTAAAGCGGATGTGCGCGGCGCCAAGGCGAGAGCCACATTTTGAAAACGACCCGCCTCCATCTGCGAAAGTGTTGTCACTTTGTCAGCTTCCGAGTCATAAATTGTGAGGAAGTCCGAAGTCTCAGGTGAAACGCCCGGCCCGCCCTAAAAACTGGCCTCGGGGTGCGACAGGGAGGAGTTACCCAGAAGGAGAAGGAATGGAGGAGGAGGGAAGGAGGAGGAGGAAGAGGAGGAGGAGAAGGCAGAGGAGGAGGAGGGCGAGGAGGAGGAGGAGGAGAAGGATGAGGAGGAGGGGGAGGGGAGGAGGTTGAGGAGGAGGAGGAGAAGGAGGAGGAGGAGGAGAAGGAAGAGGAGGAGGAGGAGGATGGGGAGGGGGAGGAAGAGGGGGAAGAGGAGGAGGGGGAAGAGGTTGAGGAGGAGGAGGATGACATGGAGGAAGAGGAGGAGGAGGAGGAGGAGGAGGAGGGCGGGGAGGCGGAGGACGGGGAGTAAGAGTTGGAGGGCCAAGCCTACCTGCGTCTAGACGACAAAAACATTTGGAGGCGATGCCAAATACCGTTGTCACGTCCTAGCCAACAGCGTCTGTGGACATATTGGATGCCCTGACGTCCACAGGCACCCTGTGGACGTCCACAGACGTCCACAGCCACCCAGCAGGAAGTTAATCAGAACCCCCTTTCGGAAAAAGGATGAACCTTACCGCGCCGGGAAGCGTTATTCCGGCACCCGCCGTCAGCAGAACGATTATGATGTCGATGATGATGGTGGTGGTGCTGGTGATGATTGTGTTGATTCTGATGATGACGATGATGACGATGATGCTGATGATGATGCTGATGATGCAGATGCCGGTTGTGGTGGTGGTGGTGATAGTAATGGTAATGATGATGATGGTTGGTGGTGATGATTATGCTGCTTATGATGATGCTTATGATGATGCTCATGCAGAGGCTGATGATGACGATGATGATGCTGATGATGGTGACGATGCTTATGATGATGATGCTGCTGCTGATGATGATGATGATGATGATGATGATGATGATGATGATAGGGGTGGTGGTGATGTTGGTGGTTGCGATGAGGATGATTATGGCTGGTGATGATGAGGAGGACGATGATGATGCTGATGATGATTATGATGCTGATGCTGATGATGATGATGTTGTTGTTGATGGTGATGATAGTGACGAGGGTGAGGAGGAGAAGGTCCTCGCGTTCTGGCCGCCAGTCCTTAGATTTGATGTAAGTTTCGGGGGCGGGGAGGTGGATACTTTTGTTGTTGTTGTGGTTGTTGTGGTTGTGGTTGTTGTTGTTGTTGCTGCTGTTGCTGTTGTTTTTGCTGTTGCTGTTGTTGTGGTTGTTGTTGTTGTTGTTGTTGTTGTTGTTGTTGTTCTTGTTCTTGTTGTTGTTGTTGTTGTTGTTGTTGTTGTTGTTGTTGTTGTTGTTGTTGTTATTGTTCTTGTTGTCGTTTTGTTGTTGTCGTTCGGCGCGTGGTGCTATAAAGTTGTCGTTCGGCTAAAGTCCACCCCTGCCATGTATTGAATCGCTTCGCTCCTTCTGCCGGCCCGTCTTGCATCACTGGTGCTGCATGTCGGTGTGTTCGTGGCGAGCGAGAAGGAGGAGGATGAGAACGCAGGGGGGCGAGGATTGAGGTTCGCTGACGCAGAGGGGGGAGAAGGAGGAGAGGGAAGGAAGACTGAAGGGTTGGTGAGACGATAGGAGGCCTCTCGGGGTCCTCTTGGCGGTATTTCCGGGACCTCCTGGGCCGTCTTGGGGGCCTTTTGGGGGCCTCCGGGGGGCCTCAGGGGCCTCTCGGGTGCCTCTTGGGGGCTTCTTGGGGGCCTCCAGGGGCCTCCAGGGGACGAGCTCGAAATGTCCGTTCGGGTTCCCCGTCTGGGCCCGCTCTTGGAGCTGTCTTGGTAGCCTCTTCGGCCATCTTGGAGGCCTCTGGGGCTGTCTTGGGGCCCCCTGGGGCTGTTTTTGGGCGCTCTTGGAGGCCTCTTGGGCCGTACTGGGGCGATCCTGGGCCTCTTGGGCCGTCTGGCAGCCCCGTTCATCCGAAAAGGCGAGAACGCCAAAAACCTTCAAAAACTGAAGGACAATTCCAAATTTCTGCCTTTGTGGGCCCTCTTCGGAGGTCTCTTGGAGCCCTCTTGGGTCGTCTTGAAGGCGCTAAGGGCTGTCTGGAGGCCATCTCTGGCGTCTTGGATCGCTCTTGGACCGTCTCGCACCATGTTGCGCTCTCGTGGAGGCCACTTGAAGCGCTCCTGGAGCGCTCTTGGGAGCCTGCTGGGACCTGGCCTGGCCGGGATCTTTCTGGGACCTGGCCGGGGTACTGTTCGTCCAGGGACCCCCAGGGGCGGCCCCGCGCGCGCGAACCAGAAATACGTTACCAGAGATCTTAGCACGCCGTTGGCCCGCTTGGCCGGCGAATTAGTATCGGTGCGGTGCTACGGATAACCTTGCGTATTAGTTTCCTGCGGCTACGTCTATGGACAACGTGGCCGTTGCGTTCGGCGCGGTGCAAGGCCGGAGAAAGGGTAGATCCGTCTACGGTGTGTTCCTGTTCTGGAGCAGGTCCCGCCTATTACTCCACAACAGGAGGAGGAGGTTGAGGGGGAGGGGGGATGACGGCCCCGCTTCTCCCTCTGCTCTCCCCTTCCCCCCTCCGTCCATCCGTCCTCCCTGCCTCCCTCCCTCCTTCGTTCCTCGCCTCTCGCTCCGCCCATGCCCTCCATCCTCCCCGCGCCGCGGGCCCCGCGGGGGGCGGCCCCGCCCTGCAGAGGAGACGTTCCCGACGCCCTGGGGGCCGGAGGACGACAAGCGGACCCGAGGCGGCCCGCATCGGGGGCTGCCCGAGGTGCCCCCCCAGCCCCCTATAGGGCCCCCCCCAGGCTCCCTCGCGCGGTGAAAAAACCATAGACGGGAGGTTTCTCCCCATGTTTCAGCCTCCGGGTGCCCTTGCCCGGCCCCAGGGCCGTAAAGCAAAAAACGATTGGGGATGAGAGCCGGTCCCGGGGAAGGGGTCGAGATCTCTGGGGAGCAGCGTTGTGCACAAGTCGTGCCGTCGGGGGTCTGGGCCCGTGTCGGTCGCGTCGGCTCGGCGGATCCCGCCCGCTGGCGCTGCGCCCTCCGCCCCGCCCTCGCCGCCGCCTTGGCGCCTCATTGCTGTCTGTTTTCCCCGCCGCCGCCGCCGCCCACGTTTGGGCGCGGTGTCTTGCCGCCCCACCGCCCGCCTACAGTGGAGACCCATGCCAAGAAACACCCTGCTTGCTTCCAGGGTGCTCTGGGGTTCTCGGGTTCCGATGGTTTTGCTGAGGACGGCGTGACGTTCCCACACCAGGGATCACTGGACGTCCTGGGGTCTCAGGGTTGTGTTTCTTGTGAAAGGTTTCTCGTGGACCGGCCTCCACTGTAATTTTGGCGCGCTGCTTGCCTGCTGCCGCCTCCGCCCCCCCCCGCGTGCTGCTCGCCGTCCTGCCCGCCGCCGCCCTGTGGCCCCGCCGCCGCTCTCGCCGTGCTGCCGCCCGGCTCCCGCTGGCCCGGCTGCCGGTGCTGCCAGTGTTAGGTCGGGCGTGTCCCTCTACAGGAGGACTACGTTCAAGAGTTGTCCAGCAATAGCCTGGGGACGACTCTCAATGTGTTTGGATTCTATTTGAATGTGTTTTGACGTTTTTTATTTTTCTTCCGGAATCCGCCTGTAGTACGACATGCCCGACTTAATGCCAGTGCCTCCGTGAGGGTCCGGCCACGCTCTTTTTCTGCAGGCGCGCGCGTCAGCGACTTTTCTGAAGGCCATGGTGTTGCTCCTGGCCGCTGGCGCTCGAAAAGTGTGTGTGTGTGTGTGTGTGTTTGTGTGTGTTTGTGGGTGCGGTTTTCGACCCGTGGATGATTTCCACAGGTCGAGTTTGGGAAACGATAGTGTGCGTTGTGTGAGTGTGTGTGTGTGTGCGTGTGTGTGTGTGTGTGTGTATGTGTGAGCGTGTGTGTCCAGCTTCGCCTCGCTACGCGAACCGGGCCTGCAACCGCAAGCTCGTCCTATTCTACGCCGCGCCGCCGCTCGCGTGGCCACGATGGCAGAAGTGTGCGTGTGTGTGTGTGTGTGCGTGTGTGTGAGTGAGAGAGAGAGAGAG